GCCAATTATCCCGGCTTTGTGACCAAATTCCGTGTTAGCAATCAGTTCTCGGAGGCAAACGATCACGTGGGCTACGAGAATTACCGACACGTGTGCCACAAATGGCATTATAAGATCACCAAGGCGATTGTGTTCTGTTTGGACTCCAAGGACTTTATGCAGATACGCAATGCGCTTATCATACTGATGCGCATACTGCCCCATTATCCGGTGCTTTCGAAGCTAGCGCAGATCATCGAACGCAAGGTGGACAAGGTGCGCGAGGAGGAGAAAACCAAGCGACCCGATCTGTTTGCCATCGCCTCCAGCTATATTGGCCAGCTGAAGCTGAAGTCGCCGCACATGTTCAAGGAGAGCGACTTCCATCAGGTGGCCGAGCGGCCCGTTAAGGAACCGGTGCCTGCGCCGCCCGGCACCGGCACGGTCAAGCTGCTGACCGGCGACAAGGTGAATGCCACGACTGCCTCAGTGACGTCCACGCCCACAACGAAAGCAGCTCCCGGTGCGCCGTTCTACGAGCAAAAGGCGGGCGTCAAGGAGACAGACGCCAAGGCTGGTAAGTAGCTCTTAACTAAGCATAAATTTTTTGTTTATCTGAATCTCTGCCGTGCAGTTCAACCGATGCGCGGCGAGGCCAAGCTCGTCAAACCGGAGGGCAGCAGCACGGTGTCTGTGGTGTCCATCTCGAAGTCCGTTTCGGCGCCGTCCAACAGTGAACGCGAGAGCAAACGAGATGTGGCAACGGCAGTGTTGCGGGAGCCCCAATCTCATCGCAGCATGGATGCCAGGGAGGAGCTACAGTCCAGTGCCAATAACAACAACAGCAACAACAACCCGAGCAGCAACAACAACAACCCGAGCAGCAATAACAACAACAATCCGAGCAGCAGCAGCAATGGCAACCAAAGCGAACGTCGCAGCCGTGAACGGGATCGGGAGCGCGAGGAACGGCACAGCATGAGCAGCACGCGCAGCTCGCAACGGGACAGCAATCGGAACAGCAACAGCAACAAGGAACGCACCGAGGCCGAGCTGCAGCAGCGCGCACGCGAACGTTCCCAGCGTCTCGAGGAGCTGGAGGCGGCGGCCGCGCTGCGTGCCCAGAAACGTGAGAAGCTATCGCGACGCAGCGACGAGCGCAGCCAGCATCGGCACGATGGCGTCGAGACTGTCGATCTGGTCACCGGCAGCGGCGGCAGCAGCAGCCAGGATCATCGACACTACGATGACTACGAAGGACGCCAGCGAGATCGCGACCTCAGTTCCGTCTCCAACGAGAGCAACGGTTCGCTGCAGCATCGACGCAGTCACGAGACAATTGAATATGATAAAGGTGAGCACAATCTAACTATGTTACAAAAAGGGGATCAGTCTCAGATCAGTATCAACATCCGAGTTATGGCCGTGTCCGTCTGTCTCTCTGCCTTTTGATCTCCTAATATCTTGATTAGACTTCGTTCATATAAAAAAAGTGGCTTTTAATTTTATAGGCTGTCGTCGGGTCTATATATTATATCGCTGTAGGACATTTATTTAGTTCAAATATATATTCGTTTTTCAAGACAGGATTATTCGAATATATTACATATTTTCGAAGCTATAACTTAATTAATTCTATTCCCTTTTCGATTTGCAGATTCTAAACGTCGTAAATTGGAATCGTCGTCGAGCAGTTCAAAGGTTAGTAGCATCTGGTTGCATACATAGTACGCTAAGACAACGACCGACCGAACCGCAACCAACGGAGGGCATAAAAAAAAACCAAAAAAAAACCAAAAAAAAAAAAAAAAAAAAACAAAAAAAAAACAAACAAAACAAAATGAGTGAAAGAGCATGCTAGAGGCGCATGTTCCGGCAGCTGGTGTAGAGGACGAGACGTCAGACCAAGTCGGCGACGCAACCAACCCACCAAAATCAAATTCCACTCTGGACACAATTGGAACTGTCGTCCAAGTTAAACAAGTATACAACAAATGTGTACAAATTGGGGTCTTTTTTTTTGAATAGTATTAAGATCTATATAAAATAGTTATATATAAGCGCACAGTTGAACTGTATAGAGAGAAATTAGTATATATTTTTATAATTATATATTAAGAGCAGATACGATTTTAGTTGAAAAATTGGAATTTTAGGGCAGCTTTGCTAAATCATTTGTAGAGTCCGTTTTAGGCTTTATGTTGCGATGTATATATTTGATGTAGTTTATGTGTAAGATAAGTTAGATTGATAAGACACAAGTGGACCACAAAAACAAGGCGCTAGTCAAGATGCTGAGGTTAAAGACGAGATGCACACGTAAAAGACGAGATGAGGAAGACGAGAAGCAGATGTCAAAGACGATGAAGGGATGCGAATAAAAACCAAGCAATCGCTGCGAACCACTCTACCCGGAAACCAAAAAAGAAAAAACTACGCTGGAGTCAAGCAGAAAAAAAAAACATTTTTTAATCATCATTGGACCAGAAACCAAACGAGCCGAGAAAAAAACCTGGACATGCTCCAAGTGCAGATCCAAATGGACTACATTCCACGTGCTGTGAATTCGCAGTAAAATCAAAGATTAAAAGCTAAGGATCTGTTAGCCCAGCTCATGCAATCAACCGGCGGGCACTTTCAACCCGAAACGCAAAGGACAACACAGCCAAGACGAACCGCAGATATCTTCACGGCCAATTCCAGAGCTGCAGATAATTTAAATCAAGAAGCAACTGGCAGCTAACCAGATAACAACTACTTGAACCGAGCGCCACAAAATGCATGGAAAATTAATCCCCACCGAATTAGAGTCGGACTCTATTTTGCATATCAAACGAAGCTGATCATTACGGAGGAAAACCCTGAAGAACACACATTCCGGAGAGCATTCCTTTCACTACACATTCGACTTGCAACACTACAAATATGGAACTATCGATTGGACATATCGATAACTAATAAACCTTAAATTGGGAATACAAAACATATCGAATGACCCCAAACCTTTGACGCTATCAACATATTAGATGATTGATCTTTACATTATGGATCAGGAATATGTCAAACAACACTTCAAACACAGCGTTATAACTGGAACTAGAACTAGCCCTAATCTACACTACAGAAGCCGCAGATGTGTATCTTAAAATAGTGGATCCAGTTAAAACTTTCATTGAAAGAGAAGAGGAGAGGAGATCAAAATTTAAAATTGGAGCTTGAAACTTCCATCCAATGCGGAGTAACCCCTGACTACAATGAAGAAAAACTTGATCTATTTGAAGACTCGGATCGACCTTGAAGCTGGATCTAATCTACAATAAAAGCGTTCGAAAATATTCGACCTTAGTCAGCAATCGATAAATCGTACATATCAAAAATTTGATCCATTCAATACCTTTCATCAGGAGAGAAGATTCTTTGAAGTAGACGTTAATCCACAATCAGAAAAGAAATCTACAAACGATAAATCACACATATCTGGATCCATTCGATAACTTTCTTTGGAAGAGAAAAAGATTTAAAGGAAACCTTAATCCACAATCAGGAACGAAATCTACAATCGATCCATTCGATAACTTTCGTCAGCAGAGAAGAAACTGTAATATAAACCTCAATCGCATGTATTACTCTAAAATTGGACCTATACGTAAACCTTCGTCAGAAGAAAGAATCGTCAGTCTCTTGTAATCGACTCTGGAGCCGTTCAAAACTCATATTAAACCAATAAGTTCTACGTCAAAGACAAACCACGAAAAATTATGGAACACTATTCACACTGGACGTGCTGCGCCCAGCGTTGCCCAACACTGTTCCGACTCTACACAACATCTCAGCCTAGTGCAGACTGCAGTTTAGTTGTACTTTTAATCGTTGATCTTGATTGTGTGCAGACGGGTAAGTGATCAGCGTATTGCGGGTGGGCGGACACTCAACTTGGGGGCGTGCCAGGATTAGCGTAGCAACTGGGCGAATGTCCCATTGGGCTGGGTCTTAATACTTTTTAATTTTTCGTTTTGAGTTTTGTATTAAAAACACATCCATCGCACATCCATCATGTGATCAGATTTTTCAATACATATTAATATGCTGTCATTACAGAAGGTGGAGGAGCTCGTCGACAGCGTAAAGAAGGCGCGCGGCCTCAAAACCAAAGAGCGCAACAAAGACAAGATGTCCGATGAGGAGCGTGACGCGCGCAAGGATCGCAAGCTGGGTCGAAAACGGGATCGCAACGAGGAGTCCGGCACCAGTGATCACAAGCGGCGGCGTGAAGGTGAGGCAAGAACTGTGAAAATTATATTCAAGACATTCAAGAATGTACGATTTTTAGCACAAAACGGCGATGATGACATGCGCGAACGGGATCGCCATAGAGTAAGTGCTGAATACTAACCTAAGTGTGTGATGGCCAGCGATAACATTTCTCTTGTTATCTGCAGGACAAATCATCCCGAGAACGTTCGCACGACAAGTTTGATAGGGAACGCGGCGGCGGTGGAGGTGGAGGCAGTTCGCGTGGTGATGATCGACAATACAGCATCTCGAAGTCGACACGCTCATCGAGAATGAACTACTGAACGCATGCGGGAAAGCATCTCTTCCCGTATTGTGAAGCGCATTTGATTTAAGAATAAAAAATAGAAAAACAAAAAACGAATACAATTTTATTTACTATTTTAACGTAAACTGAAAACTAATTTGTGAAAATTTTACAATTTTCTAATATCTAGCGTAAAAAGTAAATAACAAAATAAACACAATGTAAAGTTAACAAATAACTATTTCAACTATTTAAAAAAAAAAAAAAGAATGAAAGCTCAATTTATTGTTACTAAATTGCTAAAATGCTATTAATTGAAATTTGGCGCCTTTGACCGATCATTTTCACGTCCGATAAATTTTTGTGCCATTCACAGCCACCACTAAACACAGGCATCGATAAATATTTTTGAGTCTTGCTATATATCGAAATTAAATATCGATGAGCAGCTTTTAATAATATGTATATTTTGATTTGGACACTACTTGTCTCGTTTTTGGAACTCAATCGTTCGAGTTGCCAACGAAAATCAATTTAAGCCTGTATTAAATATTATTGTATTCGTTTTAATCCGCATTTGATAGTATTAAAGCATCGATACTTTTTACCGCCGTTTCAAATGAAAGCAACGCTAAATTGCGCCCAGCGCCGTTATGACAATTTTTAGTACATTTTGTTGCAAAGGATATATCGCTAGCAAATGTCCTGTGGCCCACACGTGAAGGTGAAGCTCCGAAAATTTTTAGTCTTCAGTGCGTGTCCCAACAAATTGGCAATGGCAATGGCCCGGCGGCAGTTCTACTTCAGTAAATACACAAATTTTCACAAAAATCACATCAAACTGTTTGCTGTTTATATGAAAACGGCAAATCTAATGCAAAACTTTAACGTGCTCAAGCGTTCGCTATAAGCAGCCGAAGGTGGTGGAGGAGGAGGACGGGCGCTGCCGCTGTCGACGCTTACGCTCTGACGCTGACGCTGACGCCGCCGCCGCCGCCTGGACCACCCACCAATACATTTACAGCACTTTTTACGGGCTAAGTGTGTGCGTGTGCGTGTGCTAAAAAGTTGTTAGTGTTATTTCAATTACATCAATTATTATGCGACTTGCGGCGTAAGCAACAAGCCAAACAAGTGTTTGAAAGCAGACGAACCTTAAAAATTGCCTACAATAATTTATGAAAAATTTCAAAACAAACTAACTAACATGGCTTAACGTAGGCGTGTCTGCTTATTGGTCGCTGTTGCTGCACAATTAAACCAGCTAGTTACGGTAAGTGCGGCTTTCTTTAACTGTTCATTCATTTATTCACACATACATTTGCATATATAAGGCTTACATAATAAAAGATATGTGCGCCAGGCGCGCGATGCGCAAACGATTTTAAGCATGAAAATAATTGCATAATAAACAGCCGACTTTTACATGCCATATCTTTGCGCTATAGAACCTGATTTGCAGAGCTAATGAGCCAATTTGGAGTCCACTGAAAAACATGCTACCCAATGCTGTACAAAGGAAGCTACTGCCTAGCTGGTGTTCTTTTGTGCTTGCTCTCCCAGCTGCCACATTCCGTGCTGGCAATTTAGCTATTTTAAATTTGGCGATTTTCTGATATATGAACTTTTAAACTGATTTTGCTTTTTATTTCCATTTCTAAGAATCCGTTTTATTGTCACAATTAAGCTATTTTTGGCCATTTTTTAAATCGAATTAGAGCTTCAGTCAACCAAGTGTACCAAAATGTACCAAATGTACCCACTCTTTCGAATTGGTACCAAATGGAACGGTATTAAGGGACCTATATTTAAATATATATAGCTTTTAAAGTCAACCAGAAAAGGCTCAAAATCGAGTAATTAAATATTTATGTTTTCAATTTTAATACTGTTTGCTTGAAAATTGTACCTATTTTCGTAATTTTTGGTACCAATTACTGTTTTTCAGTTGGCAACCGTGCTTGCTGTGCGCTCTCTTACAATTTCGCTCGCTCTCTCTCTCTCGTTCAAACGGTTCGTGCTCTTCCACGCCACAGATTGCAAACATCTGTTTTTGCAGGCGGCGGCAGCCATTGCGCATGTCAGCCGCACGTGTCAGTCGCGCGCCCACGCTAACGGTACCTACGCTAAACAAAAACAAGTTGTCACAACGACAACGCCGACGTTTTCTTTTATTTTTACGTCACATTCGTTGCCGCTGCTGCCAGGCGAACTGCCCGGCCATAGCCATAATAACAACAATGGCGACACACAGACGCAGCTGCAGGCAGCGCACGAAAGCATGCTAGCATTTGCGTCTGCTATGTGTGTGTGCGTTGACAGCATTGCAGGCGCCATGTTTGTTGTTGCTGCTGCAGCTACTGCTGCTGGGTAAATGATTTTGTTTTGTCATGTGAACAATGCCACAAGGCATACACACACACACACATACACATGTACACACGTTAGTGATGCGAATTTTGTGTTTCATTTGTTTGCTTTGTTGCCTTTGATCAGTCAGGCTTAGCCTTCGCCTATCGATATCGCTTTTAATTATCGAATTGCCTTTGTGATTATGCAGGCTCTGGCCACACACATTGTGCTTAGTCTTTACTCAACACTAACACATCGAAAGTACATGTGTATATGTAAAGCCCTATGTAAACATGTGTGTGTTTACTTTGTTGTTCTTGTACCCTGTAATGTTAAATAACAGCTAAAAAGGTTCTGATATGTTTGATCAAACGTGTGTTGCAGTCAGAGATTTCATTGCTGCAGGATATCCTTTAGTTAAGCAATCTATTTTGTTCCCTTTTTGGCATGGCTAAGGCAATAACTATTGTCTATTTGTCACGCCCCATCCAGTCGGATTTTTATTTGCCTCTCAACGCCAACTGATTTAGTGGATGAATATTGCGTGTTCTTCGTCCTTCGAACATGACTATTGCAGAAGTGTAATAAATTTCGTTTGCTCTTTTTTTCTTCTACTTCCACATCATTATCTGGTTCTTGTTTATTTTGGTTTATTTTGCTGGTTGGCGGCCTTCGCTTTGAACTTCTGTTATTTTCTGGCCAGCTTTTGGTCTTGTTGCCCAATGTCCTTGAGCCGCTTACATAACGCCTCGCTTTGTCTGTGGCTGTCTGTCTGTCTCTGTGTGTGTGTGTGCGTGTGCTTGTGAGGGAGCTGGGTGTGTGTGGATTATTAAATTTTATTCGTCATATTACGATCTCGGGGCAAAAAGTTTGAGTTAAGTATGCTTAAGTCTATTCAACTTGTTTCTCCGAATCTACTCCCACTTATTATTATATATTTTTTTTTTTGGATTTTTGTTACCATAACAAGTTCTTCAAACAGAAAACTTTTCCGATATAAAAGCCATGTTGGGGCGGTTCCCATTGTTGTTTGTTTTTCATGCTTGGCAGCAAACTGGAATACAATCTTTTTAATTGAAAATGTTTAGCCTAAAACTTAATTTAGCCGGGAAGGTAGGTAGGAAGTTTTTGTGGCGCTTCATTGAATTTCTCGTACCTGAAACCATGCACCAAAATTTTAGCTGAATTTATAAAAAGGCGAATTTGGCGTTAAGAAAATAAATTGTGCTACGATTAACTTTTTTGTTAAAAATAATTCTTAAGCATGACAACCAAATCGAAAACTCAACGATAGCGTTTTTCTTAATTCGAGCACATTTTTTTAAAATTAAGTATGATTCATTTGGGAAACAAATATTTTTTTCAGGCTTTTTGCGATTTGAATGTTGGCAGAATGTCGATTTAGGTTTTACCCGATTTGAGTGCAAAGTTCTATAATTTTTCGCTGAGTGACTGCCTATCTTTAATCATTTTGAGCTTAATTTAATTATTTTCAAATTTAAGTTGTCCTTAATTCAAGTTGATTTTATACGCTTACTTGAATATGAATTGATTACACGCTGTTGGCTCACAGTCACTCCCTTACACACACACACTCACACACACTTTAGCTGCTGCAGCAAATGGTTTTCGCATAGTCACACTTTATGGGCGGAAAATGGTCGTGAAAATGTCGTGAATGCCATGCAATCCATGCAGGATTGCCATCTTGGGTGCACACAAGGCGTTTGTCCTTTGGTTTCAATTATGTGCACTTAGTGCATGCTGTTCAAGTACAAGGATAATGTGTATATACACAAAACACTTTGTGCACATTCTATCGCACATATCTTGCATATCTGTTGTGCAGTTGCCAGCAGCTGGTCCCCAGCTCCAAGCTCCAAGCTCCAAGCTGCCCAGCTTGGCTCTGCACTCTCTTATTTTGATTTTCTTTTACTGTTTTTTGCCTTTGCCATTGCCTTTTTGCGGCTCGTGTCAGTCGATCGATATGGAAATGCCACGAACCTGATATTGAAATGTATTCGCCAGCAAGTTGTACACATATGTGCGAGATATTTTCAATGGCAGGCAAAATGGAAACGCATACATTGGCAGGCACTGTGTACATTGTAATTACAACTGAATTACGTACGGCTTGTTATCCTTGCAAGCTCTTAACCCAAACACACAGCGAACACTAGGCAAAAATCAATTTAAGCTGCATGTTCTGTCAATTCCTCTGCGGTCTCTGACTGTCTACTCAATTATTAATTTCATTTAACAATGAAAATCGCTGGACAAAGAAAAAAACAAAATAAAATGCTGGAAGAGTGGCATGCCCGGCAGAGTCTTTGCGACTTGCATTTCCTATGCTCGCTGTGATCCAGAAACTGCAAGAAATTTATATTAAAATAAGCTCTTTTTCATAATTTCAAGATATTTCCGGTTTGTTTTGAGATATTATTAAAATTGTTTTTCATTACAAAATAATGTAAGTTTTGTTTCTAATGTTGAGCATCATTAACAGTTGTCTGTTAAGCCTAACATTGCTGTTAACAGCGCGCTGTTAGATTGCTGTTAACAGCTGTAGGGGTTTCGTTGGCTGAAAATTGTTGTTATTTTTTATTTTATTTATTATAACTTTTAATAACCGTTTAAAATATTTGTAGATTTTCTTAACATTTAACATGGGTTGAGAAATGAAGACTCAATATAAGTTCCAATACTTCATCCTTCACTTTAAAATTCTTAAACACATTGTATAACAGTTGTATAAAGGAATATAACAGTTATATAAAGGAATATACTATCTGTTTAAAGTAATATACAGCAGCATATAATATAATATGCTGTGAAATATAATGCTATTACTTTTATTTATTATATATTGTTGAAAACGATTCACTCAAAAGTTATTGATGCGTTAAGTTATTCGCATGAACTAAAAAATTTTATAAATGTTTGTTGTGTTTAAGGTATATTATTATTAATTTTATATCAATTTAATTTTAACATTTTTATTTTGTCAAAATTATATTATATTCATATTTATTATAGATTTTAATATTTAAAGATTTTTAAGTGTACTTGCTTCACTGTGCGGCAACCGGCATTTTGACCACTCTCTCGCTCTCGCTCTCTCTCTCGCTCTCTCTCTGCCACTCTCCCTACCTCCCTCTCTAAGTTTCTTGCTCTCTTTCTGCCCCTCTCTATCGACACTCGCTTCTATGCCTTGAGGCTCTCCGTGTTATGAGTTTTCCCGCTGCCGTTTGTTGTTCTGTTTCAGTTCTTGACTTCAGAGCGCGGACTGCAGTTTGTTTTTTTCGGTTCAACGCAACGAAACAAATTCGAAAATAATTTATTATTGCAATATTATAAACAACAAAAATGTTTTCATTATATACATGAAAATGAAATAGTGTGTCTGCGTATGTGTGTTTCATATAGTTATCTGTGTTGCGGCAAAGCACGTGTGTGTTGTTGTTGAGCAAGAATTGCGCCATTTTTGCGCGCAGAAAACGCCTGAAAACGCAATTGAATTTTATGATAATATTCGAATTTTTTCAATATTTAGTTGGTGCTCTTATTTATTTATAATTTTTTAAAAACATGCTGTGCCCATAATTGATGTTATTTATAAACACAACAACGCGGCGCAATGTTTTAAGATCCAAACAAAAAATAAATAAAGAAACATATTCGAAAATCGAAAATCAACGCTAAAAGGCAAACGGAACAGCTGCGGAAAATGCTGTGAAAAAAACCAACGTCAGAACGTGCGTAAAAAACAGACAAGCTTCTTGTAAAATATATATATTTTATTTTTATTTTCGTTTAGTGACATTTGTACAGCACCTTTTTTTCCATCGTTTTCTCTGTGCGTATTTTTAGAAATTGTTTTTCATAATTTCTTTTCCAACTGCAATGAAATTTTCAACCAAA